CTCTGCGGCTGCGCCTCCGCGGCACCGCCGACGACATGCTCGCCGTGCGCCTGCGGCGGCCGCTGTCGCCCGAGACGAGGCGGCGCCGGAGCAGCTGGCGGCGCCACACGGTGGTGGTGCAGAGCCCGCTGACCGACCTCAACTTCAACGAGTGGAAGGAGCTGGGCGGAGGGGGCCCCCCGGAGCCCGCGGGCCCTCGGGCGCACAGCGACAACAAGGACTCGGGCCTCAGCAGCCTGGAGTCCACCAAGGCGCGGGCGCCGTCGTCCGCGGCCTCGCTGCCGCCTGCGCCCGGGGACCCGGGGGCCCTGCAGAGCCCGCCCCCGCGCCGCTCGGCTGCCTCCCGCCTCCATCAGTGTCTGTGACCAGCCCCAGCCCCAACCCCCCCCCCCACACCCACCGCCACTCGCCCCCCACCCAGAGCCCCTTGGGAAACAGGAGTCTCTTCTGGCCTGCACCCGCTCTTCTGTTGCCCCTGGGTGCATCCGGGCGGAAGTGGGAGGGCGCTGAGGCCGTGTCTCTAGTTTGGGTGCTGGAATTGGTAGGGGGTGGGCAGAGGAGAAGGCCTGGGGGCCAAAGAGTGTGAATGGGAGGGCGGGGACTCCGGCGATAAGGAGTGAGAGAGGAGGGGGATAGGCTCCTGGGGCTCTGGGCAGCTGCTGGGCGGGGGGGGGGGTGTCTCTGTCCCCTGGACTGGTGAGAGTGTGCCCTTCTGGGCCTCTGTGTTTGCTCTTAGGGACCTTTGTCGGCCACAGGGTGCGGATAGGGAACCCCCAAGTCTCAGACTAAAGGAAGGACACTGGGTGATGCTGGCTTGTCGCTCCTTTCCTCTGCTCTTCCCCATTAGCTCCAAGCTCCCAGCAAAGGGGGGGGAGGGGGTTGTGTCTGTATGTCTGGGGAGAGGAGGTGTAGGGTGGTGGTGTCCGTGGGGGGAGGGGGTTGTGTGTGTGAATGTGCGTAGTCACTGTCTAAAGGTGTTTCCAGTAGCAACTTCTGCCGCTCCTGCCCCCTTCGTCCCCTCCCACTGCCTGGGCTCCCTGTCTTTGGGTGCACACAGGGGTCTTGCCCCCACCCCCTGCTCCCGGCTGCTTGTTAGAGCCAGAGAAGGGCTCCAGCCGCTCCCCAGAGGCAGGACTGAGGCTCTCACCAGGGTTACTCCCCCCACCAGCTTTTGCCAGCTTCTAAATCACCCCCCAAGCGCTTTGACCATGGGGAGCTGCCTGTTCCCAGACACTTTGGGGAGGGTCCAGGGTCCCCCTGCTGGACCTCCCTTGCCCTTCTTTTTGTTCTTCCAGCTGTGCCTGCTTCTCCACAACTCAGGCACACAGACTCCCACCTTCTTCCCTTTAGGAGGGGGCGTACTAAAACACCCCTGGTGTCTTTCTCTCTCTCTCTCTCTCTCTCTCTCACACACACACACACACACACACACACACACACACACGCTGATTTATGGATTTATGGGGTCTGAGCTGGGCTGTTCCTTCCGGATGGGCAGGACCCAGCCCTCTCTTCTCCCCACGCGTTGTAAATAGACCTCAGATCCCCAGGCCTCCCCACACATGCCCTCACTCATTCCAGGGAAGCCCAGGTGGGGTGGTGAACCCCATGGCCACGTCTGTCAGTCCTCTTGTTTTATGCAAAGATTTGCTGTAAAGTAGATTTTTCTCTCCTCCCTCCCCTGTCCTTTTATTGTAAATATTGTCTCTAAATGTGTAACATATTATAAAGAATTTATAAGGATTTTTAAAGAGGTTTTGCTCATTTAAAAAAGTGTTGTAACAGTGTTGGATAAGCCTCCCGGCCCCACCTCCGCATGTCTCCTTTCACTGTGTCCTTGACACACCTCTCTAGGCGACAACTAAGATTTCCTGCTTCTGAAAAGTCCTGTCTTAAAAGTATAGTCTATATCTTGGAAATAAATGGCCTTCCTTGAGGCACGAGTCAGCCGTCTCACTTGTTTTGGAAGGAGGAGAGGGCCAGAGCGGGGCTGGACGGGGGAAGAGTGAGAGCTGGCCCACAGAAGGAGGGCAGTGGGGGCTGGACCAGGTGGTGGCAGAGTGGAGGCAAACCGCTCCCTCCTGGTGGCTGTGTATGAGCAGACACAGGCACGGAACACAGGATGGAAGGGCGGGTCACCCTCATTGCTGTAGGAGGTTTCCATGTACCTGCTGTCTCTGTTCCTGCGGAGGCCAGGCAGGTACCCAGGCACCTTCCTTCTTAGGGCTGCTGGACGTGCAGAATGGTCCAGAGGTGCTGCCCAGCAGACAGGAGGCCCATCTCGGCCAGCCGTCATCACAGGCACTCCAGGCTCACACAGTATCCCAAGAGGACATAATGGCTTTTGCTTATTGTCTTATTTACATGTGTCCGCTTACAACATGGGCTGGGCTTCCCTTTATGTCATGGCTCTGTAGTTGCCCCTGCCAGCTTCCAGGCTGCCTCCCATGAGCCTAGCACCCATCTGTAGGAAAAACAGGTGACAGTCTTCAAAGAGAACCTAGGGCAGAGCCCTGGGGCTAGGAAGAGCTTAGTTGCTCACTGAATTCCCTTCCTTCCTCCACCTCCCCCCATAGGTTGTTTTTGTTTGGCCAATGAGCTAAGAGCTAGTGTTACTGTGGGCTCACACCAGCCCCAAGGGCTTTACGTGTCTTAAGTCAATCCTCCAACACTTTTGAGCTCCGAGACATTGTTATCTCCATTTTATATATGAGGAAACTAAGGCACAGAGAGGTGACGTTACTTGTCTGAGGTCACACAGCTAGTAAGTAAGTGGTGGAGCCAGCATAAATCTAAGCCCAGAGAAAGGACTTAGGGACAGGGTTAGCTGCCCATCGGGCCACCTTCTCCAGGCTGCAGTAGGCTTTGGATGAGAATAGATCAAAACCCTGTGCTGTCCTTCAAAAATAAAGGAGAACTGAAGACATCTTCAGTAAAGAAAAAGAGAATTTGTCATTAGCAGACTTGCCCTATAAGAAATACCAAAGGGAGTCCTGCAAGCTGAAATGAAAGTACACTAGATGGTAACTTGAATCCACACAAAGAAATAAAGAACACCAAAAAAGGCAACTACATAGATATGAAAGACAGTATAAACATTTTTATTTGTAATTCTTTTCTTTTTTGTCTTTAACTTTTTCATTGTGTTTCAAAGGCAGCTGCATAAAGCAATAATTATAAAACTGTGTTGATAGGCTTATAATGTATAAAGGTGAAATTTATATGACAATAATAGTACAAAGGAGTGGGGAGAGAATGGAGCTATATTGAAGCAAAGTTTTTGTATACTATTAAAATTAGGTTAGTATTAATCTGAACTCTGTTGTTTTAAGTTAAGATGCTAATTGTAATCCTCAGGGCAACCACTAAGAAAATAACTCAAAAAATATTGTAAATGAAATAAGGAAGAAAAAAGATACACTAGAAAATATCTATTTTACACAAAAGAAGGCAGGAATCAAGGAATAGAGGAGTAAAAAAATCATAAGACATATGAAAAAAAATAGCAGACATAAATCCTACTTTATCAGTAATTACATGGAATGTAAATGGAACAAACACCCCAATCGAAAGGCAGAGATTGGCAGAACAGGTTAAAAAACATGATCCAACTACACGCCGTTTACAAGAAATTTACTTCAGAGTCAAAAACACCAAAAGGTTGAAAATAAAAGGATGGAAAAAGATACCATGCAAAGAGTTACCAAAAGAGAGATAGAGTGGCTATACAGTGTGAGACAAAATAACTTAAAAGACAAAAATTGTTACTAGAGACGAGAAGGACATTTTATAATGATGAAAGGCTCAATCTATCAAGAAGAGAAAATGATTATGTATGCTTCTAACAATAAAATCTGAAGCAAAAACTGACAGAATTGAAGGGAAAGTAGACAATTCAAAAGAGAGTTGGAGATTGCCACTTTCAATAATGGACAGAACAACTAGGCAGAAGATCAACAAGAAAGTAGAAAACTTGAACAACACTATAAACCAACTAGACCTAACAGATATCTAAAGAAGACTCCACCCAACAACAGCAGAATACACGTTTTTCTCAAGTGCACATGGAACATTATCCAGGATAGACCATATTCTAGGCCATAAAACAAGCCTCAATAAATTTAAAAGGATTGAAATCATACAAAGTTTGCTCTCCAAGCACAATGGAATTAAATTAGAAATTAACAACAGAAGAAATTTTGGAAAGTTCACAAATATGTAGGAATATAAAAGCACACTCCTAAGTAACCAATGAGCCAAAGAAGAAATCACAGAGGAAATTAGAAATACCTTAAGATGAATGAAAGCAAAAACACAACAAATCAAAGCTTATGGGATGCAGCTAAAGCAGTGCTTAGAGGGAAGTTTATAGCTGTAAAATGTCTGTATTGGAAAAGAAAGAAGATTTCAAATCAGTAACTTAACCTTTCACCTTAAGAAACTAGAAAAAAGAAGAGCAAACTAAACTGAAAGCAAGCCAAAGGAAGGAAATATTAAGATAAGAGTGGAAATAAATGAAATAGAAAATAGAGAAAATTAATAAGACTAAAAGTTGGTTCTTGGAAAAGACCAACAAAATTGACAAATATTTAGTTAGAGTGACCAAGAAAAAAAGAGCTAAATATTTGTCAATTTTGTTCCTCCTTTCCAAGAACCAACTTTTAGTTTTATTAATTTCATTAATTTTTAAATTAATTTTCTCTATTTTTTTTCTATTTTCATTGGTCATTAAGGAAATGCAAATCACAACCACAATGAGATACCACTTCACACCCACTACGATGGATTAAATCAAGAAAATAGAAAATAACAAGTGTTGATGAGGATCTGGAGAAATAGGAACCCTGGTAAGGATGTAAAATAGTACAGCCACTGTGGAAAACAGTTGGATGTTTCCCCCAAAAGTTAAACTTAGAGTTACCACATGACCCAGCAATTCCACTCCTAGGTATCTACCCAAAAGAAATGAAAACATATGTCCACACAGAAACTTGTACATGAATGTTTATAGCAGCATTATTCATAATAGCAAAAAGGTGGAAAGAGCCCAAATGTCCATAAATGGATAAAGAAATCATTGTATATACATACAATGAAATATTTTGCAGCCACAAAAAGGAACAAAGTACTGATAAATATTACAACCTGGATGATCCTCAAAAAATATTACACTAAGTGAGAGAAGCCAGACACAAAAGGTCACATAATGGGGCCGGCCCCGTGGCGTGGCAGTTAAGTGCACATGCTCCACTGCTGGCGGCCCAGGTTCGGATCCCGGGTGTGCATGGACACACTGCTTGTCAGGCCATGCTGTGGCGGTGTCCCACATAAAGTGGAGGAAGATGGGCATGGATGTTAGCCCAGGGGCAGTCTTCCTCA